TGTAGCTGGACATTGACATGTGACTATTTAGTAGCATGTAGCTAGACAGGGACATGTGACTATTTAGTAGCATGTAGCTAGACAGGGACATGTGACTATTTAGTAGCATGTAGCTAGACAGGGACATGTGACTATTTAGTAGCATGTAGCTAGACAGGGACATTGACTATTTAGTTGGATGGAGCTAGACACGGATCTTTGGCTATTTATTAGCCTGGAGCTAAACAGGTTTATGAGTCTATTTAGTTGTTTGTAGCTAAACAGGTACCTGTGCCTATTTTACACAATAATATATTTACATAATTATTACCAATGGAATGTTGGCAAGTGATAGAACTGGTACCACTGTTTTTACAGTTTCATACATCACATAAAGCGTGCAGTTAGCTCATTGAAATCGCAATAACCATCTAGCAATCAACATTCAGTGAAAAGCCAAACAGGAAATTTACAATGTGATGTTTAATGAGTGCAAAGAATTCATTGGATTTGTTACTTCGCATTACCATCTCATTAAAGGGTATAGATACTGTATAACATTAATAATATTTCATTAATTTAGACTGTCTAGTCGGCATGCAATGGTCCAGCAATGCACATAATTTTAAAAATATGACAAACTGCAAAAGGTGTTTCCGTGTATATCAATATTTAAAATGTAATTAAGATGCGTTTATTCATACTGGTGGCACTGTTATGTACTGTTCTTATAGCCAGCGATCTCAATATTACGCTATAACTTTATCCATACAACTAATCTCATGGATTACATTTTGACAGTATTGTTAGTGCAGGCACGTGAAGAGACGATGCTTCAGGTATCGTTTAGGGTCGTGCATTTGGGGAAACTCTAATTAAGCTTTGATAGGGATATTTGTTCATAGTTTCTTGCTTGTATGAAAGAAGAACCTATTTGCGAAATGAATGAATGCGCGTAAAAACGACAAATTAGAATGCTGCATTTTGCGTACAAACAACGAAAAGTTAAACATTTGATATTGAAGAACAGGCTATGTCATTTAGTAATTTAGAATCTCCGATAACATTATATATTTCCGGCTAACCACCATTAAAGATCACCCTGTCCAAGCTATTCCGTGGTATCAAACAGTTGAGGAGAGTTAAGATCGGCCACAGTCAAGTTCACCCTGTCCAAGCTATTCCGTGGTATCAAACAGTTGAGGAGAGTTAAGATCGGCCACAGTCAAGTTCACCCTGTCCAAGCTATTCCGTGGTATCAAACAGTTGAGGAGAGTTAAGATCGGCCACAGTCAAGTTCACCCTGTCCAAGCTATTCCGTGGTATCAAACAGTTGAGGAGAGTTAAGATCGGCCACAGTCAAGTTCACCTTGTCCAAGCTATTCCGTGGTATCAAACAGTTGAGGAGAGTTAAGATCGGCCACAGTCAAGTTCACCCTGTCCAAGCTATTCCGTGGTATCAAACAGTTGAGGAGAGTTAAGATCGGCCACAGTCAAGTTCACCCTGTCCAAGCTATTCCGTGGTATCAAACAGTTGAGGAGAGTTAAGATCGGCCACAGTCAAGTTCACCCTGTTCAAGCTATTCCGTGGTATCAAACAGTTGAGGAGAGTTAAGATCGGCCACAGTCAAGTTCACCCTGTCCAAGCTATTCCGTGGTATCAAACAGTTGAGGAGAGTTAAGATCGGCCACAGTCAAGTTCACCCTGTCCAAGCTATTCCATTTTATCTAACTGTTGACGAAAGGGCAGCGGTCAAAGTAAAGTCCATCTTCATGATGTTGTATTGACTGTCACAGATCCAACGTGTGTGATGTTATTGATCGTTTATCGATAATCAATAGCATGTAGAATTTTTCCTTGGCTGTCCAAAAAAGTTAGTGTTGAAATAACAGTGTAATTTTTTGTGGTACAGATCCACACCTTACCATCCATGGTAGGACACAAAGAAGTGATTTTACGAGGAGACTCGCACCCCCTGACCACCTTAGTCTCTGACAGAAGGGTGTTTATTTGTATGGCGGTAACATCCCCTATGGCTAGTTTCAGTGGACCTCGAGGATTTTGGTTAGGCGTGAAGCTGGCAGTATCCAGGACAGTTTTTCCCGGCAAACTGTAAATAGAATGGATATCACAAGAGGCATTGTAGATATCTATGTACGAAAAACGTTGATGGACGACTTGACATTCCTGGATTTGTTGTTTCGAGTGATTCTCTCACATTTCCAGTTCCTCTTTGAATTTCTGTATCATCCTTAAATTGTCCTATCCCATCTTTCTAAAAATAGTCTGCTAGCAGGTCAAGGTCTTGTTTCAGTTGATCACCTCACGTGACAAGTTTTAAAATGTACTGGTTTTATCTTTAAGGAATGGTTCAGTAAATTTGATACATTTCTCAAATTGTACAATGTCATTTTTTTCTGTTTAATCAATATTTTTTTTAATGTCTATCTGTTTTTGAGGAGAAATTTCACTGAGCTCACAAACAGTATGCCCTTTGTGAATTGATGGTAGACAATTGGGACAAATGAGTGCCCGGCATGTTTGACAATAAAACTCCAACAGCCTCCCTTTATGATGGACACAAGTAGTCTGACCTTTCATACGGACAGGAATTCGACTCAGCAGAGTCGCAATTTTGATAATTAAGATAAATCACAGGAGATTTTTACAATTTGTTACACATGCATGTCAATCACCAAATTGTAAATTGTTCCTCTGTCCTCTCAGTGCAAAACCACAATCAGATAAATTTTCCATGTTGGCACAGCGTTATTGATAAACCCATGCTTCCATCTCCAGCGTCAAAGTGTTACTTAACATTGTCTATATTTCTCTAACCTGGAAATTCACCGCCACAGTCCTTTTTCGTTATGTTATGCTATTCGACCTAAAGTCACCTGGTTTACTAAACATCTCATGGTACTTGATAAAGCCAAAACAGAACATTATGATTGGTAAATATGGTAAAGAAACACCAGGCCTGGTACCGACGTCCATGGTAACGTATAGAGGCACCGGTCTTAAATAGCTTCAAAGTCAATGATGTAAGGTTGTTTTAATGTGACTGAAAGCGACATTGTGTAGGATGTTACTGTGGTTCTGGTTTCCAGGAGATGGTATTTAAATACATGCTGTTTACCTGGATTTTATTATTGATAATCTTCTGTATTAGATTATACACCTGTAATTATTCAACCTGGACAAAGGACAACTTTTTGAATATCAATGTGACAACAAGAACTAGTCTATGTATAATGGTTATGATTTTAGAAGGGATTCAATTGATATATGTTATACAATTTCATATGCATCATTTTAATATATCTACCAATGGCATTTGCGGTTAATATATCTAAAACGAAGCATAAGCTGCTTTCATACAATTTACACAAAGGGCACAAGTGCCACTCCTTATTTCGTGACACTTGCCATTTCATCCTTTAAATTCATAGCATAATAGCTTACTTTTCATTAGCCTAAACAGCTCCCTTGATGATAGCAATAGTTTGAAAGTCTGAAATCTACAAATGCTTCTCATAATACTACTGCTAGGTGATTTAATTATAAACTCTCCGCAGGGAGCCCTTCTTACCTGCTCGTCGTGCATACGTACGACCGGAAATACGTCCTTCTTTATCTATGGCGCTAAGCTTGCTGGCTATTTTCAACGTGACTTTCCACAAATACAGGGCGGTATCCTCCTATATTCCTGTGAATTTGCTCACATTTCATAACGGTTTTACTTGATTTCCTATTTATTTGATATTATGTAGGTCGTGATATTTAGTCCCGTTTTCCTGTGTTTCCTTGGTTTGTTGGGCTGAAACCTGGGATTTATCGAAGGCTAATCCCTTCAGTTATGCCATTCATGATGGGAAGCTGACTCCTCATCCAGCCAAGCTGGATCGAGGGACTTATCTTTCTGGCCCGGGAAGTTAGTAGACCAGGTGGTGTTCCAGCCAAAGGAACATCACAAGGTCGAGAGGATGCTGCTCCCCTCGCCTCATATCCTGCCATTGTACAGTCGATCTGTATGTGGACCGACTTTCCGACGACGAGAGATATGCAGGTCAGACTAATGTCTGCCTTGAATTCATAAAAATTACATTCAGTGGCTGCGGTTTCGTCCACAGGGACATAAGGTTTGCGAACCCTTCCGTTCTCGCCTTTTGACGTCCCCCATTAGTGGTCCAACTCTGTTTAGTGGGGTATTATCCGATGTATAGAAGGATCTGAAAGATGATTCAATGACCTTTGGCATTGTTTTCCCTGTTCCTAGTGGTCAGATTCTTCACAGGGTTATTGGCCGGCAGTGAAGAAGTCCTCAAAGCAAAGGGCAAGAAAGAAACGGGTGGCAAGAAACTTTCTTCCAATGGAAAATCGAGCTCCTGGTTCGCTTCTTTCTTCCGTGCCATCGCCAGTTGGTCATATTTGGATGTGGTTTCTTCAGACCCCGGTTCTGTTGTGTGGAAAGGCCTAGGCGTTCCTTTACCGGAACTCCTGGTAGGCGGCCCTCTCGTTTCCTTCTTTCCTCAGTGAAGGGACAGCACCCAAGACAGCTGGCCTTTGTTTATGGTTTCGGAGGGTTGGGGGACTCTCTTGATTCAGGATCCCCCGTCTGCAAAGCAAATCTTCTTCCCCACTCCTGATGATCCGTAAAAAAGGCTCTTGCTCTGAGGAGGAAGTACGGACTACGCTATGCAAGGAAATGGTTGAGGAGATTCCTGCGATGGAATGTACACCCGACGTCTACTCCAAAATGTTCTGATTACTTTAAACATGCGCGTGGATTCCCCTACTTCAAGATGGAGACTCCATAGGGCATCATCGCTTCACTGGGGATGGGTATGAAGGCAATTTCAGATGCCTACAGTTTCAATACGGTTCTGATCATTGCTCTTTCGCCAGAGGACAAGTGTATGAAAGTTCGAGACTCTTTACGTCAGACCCTTGAAAATGTTCTTGCACGCCAACAAGGTTCCTGCTTGGATTGGAAAGTTATGCTCCCCTTAACTAAGTCAGTGAATGACTTTGCCTCTTGGTAGACTTGTAGGGACACGTTCTTCAACGGGTTCCCCTCCGTGGATCAAGTCTCACCCCCCTTTTTTCGGACGCGTCCGTGACGGGCTGGGGCACCTACCTGGTCGGCTATGTCCAGTCCAAGGAATGGTCCAGGGAACAGCTCTCTTAGCACATCAGTTTGTCGGAGACAGTCCTGCTAGCTCTGTAATCCCTTTGGGAGGTGCTACAGTCACAGGTCATTTGTCTGGCTACAGACAACTCCACAGTTATCGCTTACATGAAAAAAGTAAGGGGCACTAGATCTCATGTGCTGTGTGCCTTGACTATCAAGATTCTTTCGCTTTGTAAGGACATGCACTTGACCATTCAGGTTGGGCATCTTCTAGGCTGCTTGAAACTCCTGGCCGACAATCTTTCCAGACGTCGTCAGTCGGTTTTGGTGGAATGGTGGCTGAAACCCTTGGTTTTCCGAGCAGTATGTCAGGCTTGGAACAAACCTCAAAGATCTGTGTACCACAGCTCTGGATACTCAGTTGCCAACCTATGTCTCTCCAGTCCTCGATCTACAGGTTTGTATTGGAACAAGCTGAATGTTGATTCGTTTTCCCCCGCTCATTCTGGTGGGCATGGTGCTCCAGAAGTTTCAAGAAAATTCCTGCTCTTTTCCTCTGGAAGCTCCCCTATGGACGAGGCAGCCTGATTTCCTGTGTAACAATCTCCGCTGGTGGACCAGCCTCTGCGGTTGCCACTAAGTCGAGACCTCCTTCGGCAGCCTCGGTACAATGTGTTGCATTCACAGCCTCAGATCATCCACCTATCAAGGGAGGCCGCCTCGCTCACATGCTTTTCTGAGGATGTGTCAGCTCGCATTGTAAGATCCATCCGGTCTGTCACTTCTGCCAATCCAGATCGGGAAAATTCTGTAACTGGTGTGGTGAGAAGCTCTTGTTCTGGTGATCGCTGATTTTCATCTGTCCTTCTTCAGAGTTTTTAATCTAGCACCTGGAACCATAGTTGGCTACCGCTTTGCTTTGGCCTTTGTCTTTGCTTTTAATGGCAGACAGAAAGTCAGCATTTCCCCTTCCTTGTCTGCTCTGCTGAGGGGTTTCAATCTGGTCAGACCTAGAGTCAGGTAGATAGCACCACAACGGAATCCTTGATTAGAGACTTGTATGAGCCTCTTGATAATGCTTCTTTGAAGTTTCTTCCTGTTCTTTACAGTTTTTTCATTGCCTTGATTTTTGTGCGCAGAGGCAGTAAAGTATCATGTCTTCCTTCTTGTCTCCGTTAGTCTAGGGGTATTCTGCGGTGTCTTTGTTCACCGATCCTGCTTCCTTCGCTAAGAATGAGATGCCAGGGTTTTCTCCTGAACCTATCAGAATTCCTTCCTTGGTGTCTGTTGTAGGCATCTCAAACAATGGCAGTTTGTTTTGTCCTTGTCGGACATTGTGGTTTATCTCGATAAAACCAGTGAGGGGGAGGTTACCATTCTCTGTTGTTTCTGCCCATCAAAAAAGCTAAGCAGGACATCACTGCTCAGTCTGTCTAAGATAGATCTGTGGGAATGCATTTTGCTTACGATCACTCCGATGAAGGGATATGTGGGCGGTTCAAGGTTACAGCTCGTGAAGTCAGGGCTCTTGTTACGTCTTAGGCTCTCCTCTCTGAATCTTCTTCTTCTACAGGAGGTCAACTGGTTCCTGGATAGGACAGGCGATCTTACTGATTTTAACTGAGATCATTGGCTTCAGTTTCTGGTGACTTTTTTCTCTCTTGGTCCTTTGATTGCGGCACATTTGTGGTCAAGAGTGAACCTAATCTTTATAAAACCAGAAACCATAAAAATGGTCAGGTCTGGACCTAATCTTTATACAACCAGAAACCATAAAATGGTCAGGTCTGGACCTAATCTTTATACAACCAGAAACCATAAAATGGTCAGGTCTGGACCTAATCTTTATACAACCAGAAACCATAAAATGGTCAGGTCTGGACCTAATCTTTATACAACCAGAAACCATAAAATGGTCAGGTCTGGACCTAATCTTTATACAACCAGAAACCATAAAATGGTCAGGTCTGGACCTAATCTTTATACAACCAGAAACCATAAAATGGTCAGGTCTGGACCTAATCTTTATACAACCAGAAACCATAAAATGGTCAGGTCTGGACCTAATCTTTATACAACCAGAAACCATAAAATGGTCAGGTCTGGACCTAATCTTTATACAACCAGAAACCATAAAAATGGTCAGGTCTGGACCTAATCTTTATACAACCAGAAACCATAAAATGGTCAGGTCTGGACCTAATCTTTATACAACCAGAAACCATAAAATGGTCAGGTCTGGACCTAATCTTTATACAACCAGAAACCATAAAATGGTCAGGTCTGGACCTAATCTTTATACAACCAGAAACTATAAAATGGTCAGGTCTGGACCTAATCTTTATACAACCAGAAACTATAAAATTGGTCAGGTCTGGACCTAATCTTTATACAACCAGAAACTATAAAATTGGTCAGGTCTGGACCTAATCTTTATACAACCAGAAACCATAAAATGGTCAGGTCTGGACCTAATCTTTATACAACAAGAAACTATAAAAATGGTCAGGTCTGGACCTAATCTTTATACAACCAGAAACCATAAAAATGGTCAGGTCTGGACTTAATCTTTATACAACCAGAAACCATAAAATGGTCAGGTCTGGACCTAATCTTTATACAACCAGAAACCATAAAATTGGTCAGGTCTGGACTTAATCTTTATACAACCAGAAACTATAAAATTGGTCAGGTCTGGACTTAATCTTTATACAACCAGAAACCATAAAATGGTCAGGTCTGGACCTAATCGTTATACAACCAGAAACTATAAAAATGGTCAGGTCTGGACCTAGTCTTTATACAACCAGAAACTATAAAAATGATCAGGTCTGGACCTAATCTTTATACAACCAGAAACCATAAAATGGTCAGGTCTGGACCTAATCTTTATACAACCAGAAACCATAAAATGGTCAGGTCTGGACTTAATCTTTATACAACCAGAAACTATAAAATTGGTCAGGTCTGGACTTAATCTTTATACAACCAGAAACCATAAAATGGTCAGGTCTGGACCTAATCTTTATACAACCAGAAACCATAAAATGGTCAGGTCTGGACCTAATCTTTATACAACCAGAAACCATAAAATGGTCAGGTCTGGACCTAATCTTTATACAACCAGAAACCATAAAATTGGTCAGGTCTGGACTTAATCTTTATACAACCAGAAACCATAAAATGGTCAGGTCTGGACTTAATCTTTATACAACCAGAAACCATAAAATTGGTCAGGTCTGGACTTAATCTTTATACAACCAGAAACCATAAAATGGTCAGGTCTAGACCTTATCTTTATACAACCAGAAACCATAAAATTGGTCAGGTCTGGACTTAATCACGAGATGTTAATATTGGGGAGGACTATCAAGCGCAGTGATGTTTTGGTGGGACGAGATGTTTGTTTTGGTGAGGACTATAAAGCGCAGTGATGTGGGGTGGGACGAGATGTTTGTTTTGGGGAGGACTATAAAGCGCAGTGATGTGGGGGTGGGACGAGATGTTTGTTTTGGGAAGGACTATAAAGCGCAGTGACATGGGGGTGGGACGAGATGCTTATTTGGGGAGGACTATCAAGCGCAGTGATATGGGGTGGGACGAGATGTTTGTTTTGGGGAGGACTATAAAGCGCAGTGATGTGGGGTGGGACGAGATGTTTGTTTTGGGGAGGACTATAAAGCGCAGTGACGTGGGGGTGGGACGAGATGTTTGTTTTGTGAGGACTATAAAGCGCAGTGATGTGGGGTGGGACGAGATGTTTGTTTTGGGGAGGACTATAAAGCGCAGTGATGTTTGGGTGGGACGAGATGTTTGTTTTGGTGAGGACTATAAAGCGCAGTGATGTGGGGGTGGGACGAGATGTTTGTTTTGTGGAGGACTATAAAGCGCAGTGATGTGGTTTGGGACGAGATGTTTGTTTTGGGGAGGACTATAAAGCGCAGTGATGTGGGGTGGGACGAGATGTTTGTTTTGGGGAGGACTATAAAGCGCAGTGACATGGGGTGGGACGAGATGTTTGTTTTGTGGAGGACTATAAAGCGCAGTGATGTTGGGGTGGGACGAGATGTTTGTTTTGGGGAGGACTTCAAAGCGCAGTGATGTGGGGGTGGGACGAGATGTTTGTTTTGTGGAGGACTATAAAGCGCAGTGACATTAGGTAGGAACGAGAAGTTTGTTTTGGTGAGGACTATAAAGCGCAGTGACATGGGGTTGGGACGAGATGTTTGTATTGGGAAGGACTATATTGCGCAGTGACATGGGTTTGTGGGACGCAGTGATGGGGTGGGACGAGATACTTGTTTTGGGGAGGACTATAAAGCGCAGTGATGTGGGGTGGGACGAGATGTTTGTTTTGGGGAGGACTATAAAGCGCAGTGATGTGGGGTGGGACGAGATGTTTCTTTTGGGGAGGACTATAAAGCGCAGTGATGTGGGGTGGGACGAGATGTTTGTTTTGGTGAGGACTATAAAGCGCAGTGATGTGGGGTGGGACGAGATGTTTGTTTTGGGGAGGACTATAAAGCGCAGTGACATGGGGTGGGACGAGATGTTTGTTTTGGGGAGGACTATAAAGCGCAGTGACATGGGGGTGGGACGAGATGTTTGTTTTGGGGAGGACTATAAAGCGCAGTGATGTGGGGTGGGACGAGATGTATGTGTTGTGGAGAACTATCAAGCGCAGTGATGTGGGGGTGGGACGATATATTTGTTTTGTGGAAGACTTTAAAGCGCAGTGAGATGGGGGTGGGACGAGATGTTTGTTTTGGTGAGGACTATAAAGCGCAGTGACATGGGGTGGGACGAGATGTTTGTTTTGTGGAGGACTATAAAGCGCAGTGACATGGGGGTGGGACGAGATGTTTGTTTTGGGGAGGACTATAAAGTGCAGTGACATAGGGGTGGGACGAGATGTTTGTTTGTTTTGGGACGAGATGTTTGTTTTGGGAAGGACTATCAAGCGCAGTGATGTGGGGGTGGGACAAAATGCTTGTTTTTTGGAGGACTATAAAGCGCAGTGACATGGGGGTGGGACGAGATGTTTGTTTTGGTGAGGACTATAAAGCGCAGTGATGTGGGGTGGGACGAGATGTTTGTTTTGTGGAGGACTATAAAGCGCAGTGATGTTGGGGTGGGACGAGATGTTTGTTTTGTGGAGGACTATAAAGCGCAGTGATGTGGGGTGGGACGAGATGTTTGTTTTGGGGAGGACTATAAAGCGCAGTGACATGGGGTGGGACGAGATGTTTGTTTTGGGAGGACTATAAAGCGCAGTGATGTGGGGGTGGGACGAGATTCTTGCTTGGGGAGGACTATAAAGCGCAGTGGCATCGGGATGAGACGAGATGTTTGTTTTTGGAGGACTTTAAAGCGCAGGACTACGAGAAGCGCAGTGACATGGGGGTGGGACGAGATGCTTGTTTTGGGGAGGACTATAAAGCGCAGTGACATGAGGAT